ATAGATATATACGTAAATTAAAACGTCCTTCCGAAGCGGACGATGTGATTTCAATTCCGGCTGCCGACAGCTTCTTACGGGCGACCCCCCAAACAACCTTTCTTTCTTTTTTTGTGCCGACAAAATCATAAATGAATTAACTGACTATCCCAACTGTGTGTCATGTGTCGGGGTGTGTATGGGTAGGGTAGACGAGTTTCTCCACAATGTGCTGGCATTGAGTCTTGTTTACAGAAATTGTATTGGAAATATTAAGAAATTTTTCATTGGGATCCATCGGGAAAATCAGTGGTTTATACAAAAGAAGATTGTTCTCTGTCAAAATGTCAATCACATATTTCTGATGAGATAGGCAAATATCCTGAGATAACCAAACAACTTCCATGCCTAAGAAGTACGAGAGAGATCCCAATTATTTCATTTCAAAGGAAGCAACAAGAATGACTTTCAGAGACTTCAATGATGGTAGATCATTACTTTTGAGAACAATATCGTCAACATAGACAATAAGAATAGTTATCTGGCCGCTAGAGCAATGCCGGAAGAAGAGAGTGTGGTTCGATTGAGCCTGAGTGAATCCATGATCCACCACTACCTTTGTGAATTTCCCAAACCATGCCTGTGGTGATTGCTTCAATCCATGAGGAATTTATTAGTCTACTGATACGCCTTAAAATTACTTGTTTTATATGAACATTTAATGCTTATTTTTAATGATATTTCAATTTAAATGAAGATATTTTGCATGTATTTTGTTTCGGGTACAAGAAATGGTGCTTTGAAGAAAATGCAGCGAAATGAGGTCAAAATGGAGCAATAATGACACCACATACTCTGGCGTCGTAGCGCCAGCTTTTGGCACAATAGCACCAGTTCTTGTACGTAATAGGCGCCATAGTACCACGTATTGGCGCCATAGCGTCTGAAGCGGTTTTAACTTTTGTGCAATGAATTTGGACGAATTTGAAGAGGCGCTTGAAGTGACTTTTGGTTATTTGTAGAGCTCTATTAAAAGGGACCATTGGCTGGTCAAAAAAAAAGAGACTTTTAGAGGGTGCGTGAGTTATTAGGGGTAAGAGTGTGTGTAAGAGAGAGTCTTTGATTGTGTAAGAAAAGTTTGGAGATATCTTAAAAGAAATTTTAGGATTTACTTGGGGAGAAATCTAAGATAAATACTTTGTACTTGTGTTTATGTTTTTATTTTTAAATCTTGACTTTAAATACAAATCATGTTTTGTTGGTTATTCCCATGAATTCTTTGTAGTTTTCTTTTTTTTCTTCTTGCAATAAGAAGTAATCTTGTGGAGGAGTTATTTTATTTAAAACTTATTTTATTCCAAAAAATTGTAATGGTATTTTCACCAATTTTTCATTTACTTTACAACTTGACCACTTGTGATGTTAAAATTCATTGCGAAACATAATGACCCGGGAGGGCTATGATTTTACGCAACTTATAAATACCACACTAACCTTTAGGATGGGAGGCCGACTCGATCTACGGTTTGACACAAATAGATAGGGAGATAAGTTTTGATGGGTGAAGAATTGATTTTTCTAGTGTGATAGGTTAGATTCTTTACCTATTTGGTCTATTGTTGGAAATAAGGATATCTGTTTGATCCTATAGTGAGGGCACAGTGAGTAATCTAGAAGTGAGAGGTCAGAATCTACTCAACACTACTACACAAGCTGAACTAACTTTCAATTAGCTAATGTTCTTTTTGCTGGGAAGGTTATTTGTCACAATATAACATTTTAATATTTAAACATTCAAATTCCTCCATGGATTATGATCTCTTTGCAAGGGGAAAAATCTTTTTATTACATTTGAATTTTTTTACATCTTGTTAGTTTAGAAAATTTGCACTTACTTTCTGCTTAGAATTAAATTGAGCATTTATTTAGTTTTAATCCTCTACAAATATTTTGACACTATTCTCTTATAAGTGCTTTTACAATTTTGAGTGAAGTTTACATTTTTGAGCGAAGCTTTTCTAAGTCATCATAAAAAGTTATAGCATAGCTTCTCTGTGAGATCGATACTAAGGTTTTTAAAGAAAGTTTTATATTACTTGAAATGATACATATACTTACGTAGTACCTCTAATGTGAAAGTCATTAATCTATATTATCAAATATTTCATTTGTTCGCACTAGTCGTTAAATATAATTGGGTCAAGTTTTTTATCATATTTTGGGAACTTAAATAATTGCGTAATTTCGAATCTGGTCAAGTTTTTGGCGTCGTTCCGGGAAAACAACAGAACTTTTTGACTTGGAAATTTTCTTTGAATTGTAGATTTATTTTAGGAGAATTGTATTTCAAAATTTCTTTAAGTATTTTTAATTTCTTGAAATTCGAAAAAAAATATATATATATAATACTTTCACGTAGTTTTTTTATCAGACATAAAATTTGTTCTGATTAATTTGGATTCGTTGTATATTAAATTTAATTTTTGTTTAAGCTTTCATTTTTGTGTTAGTTGTTGTAATAGTATCTGTATCTTAAGCACTAACAAGTATATAAGTAATAATTATCTTGATGCTTGTAGCTTAACTTTTTTCTCTTTGCTAGCTTGCTCTTCTGAATTTGTTGTGTTCTATAAATTTGTATATGCATGAGCTAGCCTTTCAACATTTTGGGCTATGTTTTTTCTTAGAGTTTTTTTGTTCTTTGGGTAGACCTAACATTTTAATTATAATTCTTTCATCGAGAAAATATGACAACGTTATATGCATGTGCAGATGATGGATCAGATTCGCGGAAATTGAAACACATTATGGCCCAGCGAATCTAATCTGTCATCCGTACATAGGTCTAACGCATGTAATATATTCTGCAGTAAATCAGATCAACTATATCATGTTTGTGATTATGAAAACACTTTGAATACAATCATAGGCTCACGGAGTCAACACCTTGTACAGATAACCTGAGATATAGACATCTAGCTTCAGAATTTTTGAAAGGTCCTTTTTCTATTTTCTTATATGGCTGAAATTTTTTGGACATCATTTTCTTTACTCAGCCCTGTTTATCTCTATTATTTCTTCTCTTTCTCTTTCTTTACTGCGTACCTTTAAAAATTCTCATTTTTGACATGTTTCTTTTCCCCTGAACCCTAGGTCTTCTTTGCAACTCTTTTCTCTCTTAAATTTTTTACTGAGCCTTCAATTAATTACTGATGGTTATCAACAATTTCGAAAAAATGGGAGCATTTACATGCCTACCACACAATTCTTATATATTTACATATCTAACGCCTAAATTTTACTTTTTACATTGATACCACCCAAATCGTTCACTTCACATAAAAATACCACTATTTTATTTATTAAAAGTGAAATACACATTTTCATTCATGTGGTGGCATATATGTAAAAATTGAAGTTTAGGCATTAAATATGTAAATACATACGAATTAAGTGGATATATATATATATATATATGTAAATCTAAAAAAAAAAATTGGATTGTTATTTGCTTTTGATGTTACATTTAAAGATTTAGTTTTTTTTTTTATTGTTTATCAATGTGTAAGTTTAATATGACAAACATTTGCTTTTGATTTTCACTACCCAAACTTTATTTTCTGTTTATGTTAGTTTTACTGCTTAGGCATGTCTTTTATATGGTGAACACATCATTTATTAAGTTTCATTGTTGGAACTGCAGGAATGATGTATGGCTGCATCTCCCTTTTGCAAATGCTCTTGTGGATATTGTCATTTTCTATATGAACATGTTGAGGTTTGATCATCTAAAGCTGATAATTGGCAATGCATTTTTTTCTAATATACTCTTCATTGTATACATTTTTGTTATTTCCCTCTGATTCAAAATATGCAGAAGAGCTATCTATTTCATCACCAAATATAGATTGATGAATTTTTAATTAAAAATATATCAAATATGCAACCGCATCTACTGAAGTGATATAATTTGGGGAATCACCGCTTTTCTTTGATGTAATATTATTAGTTCATAGAACAGGATCTTATCTCATTCCCATTTCAATCACTTGATTTTAGTATATTAATGATGAAATGGAAAATTTTCCAAGTAGCTGATTTCATCATTTTGTTGATTATTCCGCTCACTGCATCTTCTTTGAGGGGCATTTACTTACATAAAACACAATTCCTGTACGTTCATATCTAACTCACAAATTTGCATATACATCGATGCCTCTTTTAAATTCTTAACACATCAAAAATATCACTCTTACCTGTTAGAAGTGAAAGAATTCCTTTACAAGCATAGGGATTATGACACCAAAATATTATAAATATAAATATGGAAGCTTAGGTGTTAGAAATGTAAATATATAAAAGTTGCTGTATACACTTAAACTTCCCTTTCTTTTATTGGCCAATGCTGTACAAGCAGTTAAATGGCCGGCATTAGTGGTGTGATTGGCTAAATTTGGACTAAATTACGTGATTTGTTTGGCTTGTTAAGCAAATGAATCTATATATATACTATGATTGAGCCAAACAAATCTTGTTGTTATCTGTCATTAATTTAAAAGAGCTAGTGAAAATTAGTTGAACTAACAGGCTACTATGATAGATCTTCCACTTGCTCTCCTTTATTTTGCTGATAGACACATGATGCACATTGATAATTATAATTAACAATTAGTTGTTGTGCGGGACAATGACTACTGACGTTTGCTTAAAAACAAGCTACGCGAGACGTTGGTTCTACAAAAAAAAATAATAAATAAATAAAAGAAAAGAAAAAAACAGAATTTAAGAGCTGTGGGCTGCATGTGCGCGGTCGAGCAGCTTAAGTGGTCTTGTTGAACGCCTATTTGATTATCTGTAAGAAATTCTGTTGTCTGATTCAATATAAAGCTTGAGAGGATCATTAGAAGTGTACTTTATTTGGCTTGCAGCTCTTTGGGAATGATTTCAACTATAAATTTTTTGTCTGCTTATGGGCATATTTGGGAAACATTATCATTTTGTTCTTCCTATCACAGCCATTTATCCATTCGGTTATTATTTTTTGCTGTTTTTTAAAAATGTCACAAAAAATTGGGACTTCTATTTAGATTGATAGGCCAATAATTCTTTGATTGCAAAAATTAATCCTATTCTATTTAGATTGATAGGCCAATAATTATGCTTTTAGTTTTAATGTTGCAATTTTTTTTATTAAATTTAAATTTATAATTCATTTTTCATGTCAATGTGCCATTTGAACACGTAGCTCATGATAGGAAATTAGACCCTCAACCAATATATAATGATTAACTGTGTTTCTATGTAACTGTGATTGTACATAGAGCACTCACCTACTAGTTAACGTGGGCTCCATAAAAATAAATAAATAAAAATAATGAATTAATATTCTTTATGTAACAATATAAGTTTTCGAACTTAGGATTCAAGAACATTCCTTGAACTACTTTCGCAAATATTTGTAGCCATCTTAAATGAATCCTAATCCAAGACAAATTTAATACATAATAAGCCATATGAGTTCTTTGTAATTTTTAAATATTCCATTCTTAATTGTGCAACACATTAGTTGAAAATAGAGTGAGGAAACTATGCTATCTCTAAGTTCCGAAATTCAAATATCTTTCAATTCTAGGATAAGGAGTATATAAGAACAACTGAAGACATTTATAATAATTTGTTCCGATAATAATAATTTTCCAATATGAAGATCATCCTTCACCAACTTCATGGTAAATAAATTGGGCGGGAATATTTCAAAATTTGATATGATCATATTTTAATATTATTTTATTAATTTTATGATAAATTTAATGTAAAAGTTAATTGATTGTGTATACTGAAATTAAATTCAAGGGAGATTTACATAGGTACCATTCCAATTAGGGTTGTCTAAATGACTCATTAGCGAACAACTCGTTCAGCTCGTTAAGGAGCTCGTGTTTGATTCGTTCGCTGAGTTAATGAGCGGAAAGCAAACACTTTTTTGTGCTCGATATATAAAAGAGTCGAACCTGGGTCAGATTTGTTCGTTTGTGTTTGGCTCGTTTTGGCTCGAAATACTATTCATCAATTATATATATATATATACTTGATGAATAGTATTTCGTTTTAAATATAATTGGTTATAATCAATTAAATTTAGTAATTAAAAAATAAAGTAAAAATATATTAAATTATATTTAAATGATGTCTTAATATAAATAATGAGATTTAAATTTTGCCCCAACCCTTAATATCATACGAATATGTGATTAGCATTGTCAAAACTATTATTTGTTTGTGAATAGCTCGTGCTCGGCACATTAAGCAAGCAAACCAAACACGAACATACTTTTTTTTGTGAAATATAAGCAAGTCGAACACGAACAGTGATATTTTTTAACGAGCCGAACACGAGCTGAGCCTTGGCTCTCTTATGTTTGGCGCGTTGACACATCTAATTCCAATCATATGTATTTAGTATTTATATGTATTATAATATATGTATCATCTCTATGTATGAAAAGTGTATTTCTAAAATAGTAGTATTATTTATGTGATATAAAAATTTGTTTGATATAAATGTAAAAAGTATAGTTTAAATGCTAGCATGTTAGGTATGTAAATTCATAAATATTGGTGGGTATGTATGCAATTGCCGTAAATTCAATAATTTAAAAACTCGTATTGAATAATCTCGCTGAATCAATTAAGTGTACGGAATAAAAAAAAAAGGAGATGATCCATTCTCTGAATTATACTATATTTAATCACTATTCATCAAGGGAGTTACCAACAAATAAGATTTATGATAATTTAATAAATTAGCTAATTTTATTATTAAAATCAATGAAATAAGTTAGTAACATCTATTTATTTTAGGGGTTACATGAGTTACAAAATAAATATCATAAATTATCATAAATTATGACATAAGTTGTTAAATAAATAACATAAGTTTTCATGAGTTATAAAAATGAATAACTTAAGTTATCATTTATTATGCCATAAGTTATGAGTTAAGAAAATAAATAATATAAGTTATCATGAGTTATAACAATAAATAACTTAAGTTATCATTTATTATGACATAAGTTATGAGTTAAGAAAATAAATAATTTATGTTATCATGAGTTATAAAATAAATGACATACGTTATTCAAAATAAATCTGATAAGTTATTAAAATAAATGTAATAAGTTATTAAAATAAGTGTGAGTCACAAATAAAAATATAACATATTCGACTATCACGATCAAATTAGTCCACAACTGCCTAACAACTATCATCAACCGCTATTAATGGACAATCATCCATCATCATCATACCGCCACCATCTGTCCACAGTTGTTTGTCGTTGTGATGTGATCACATTGTTAGATTCTCGCAGCTTATCTACCATTACCAATCTACCTCCATCTAACTGCAATCATTGGGCTATGGTTATTAAAATCATTATTGGGTTATAACCACTCAATCATCACCATTAGAACGTTGTCGACTAATCATCATTATTAGACCACCATCACTAGTTTATCATCTTCAGATCACCAACATATGATCATCCCCATTGGATTATTGCCGCCCATTCACAAGAATTAGACTATCAACATCTGATAATCATCATTTGATTGCGGCCTCTCAACAACTATTATTGCCTTGAATACCAGCGTGGCATTGTCGCCATCCTTCCACCATACTTGGACAACACCAACCGAATAGTACAGTTTGATCACCATCGTCTGTGCATCATTGTTAGATCTTGCCATCCAACTATCGTTGTCAAATTGACTATAGTACATTTGACTTTCATCAATGAACTATCATCATCTGACTCCAATTGCACTATTTTGACGTAAAATAGTAATAGCTAGATTATAATTGCATATAACTACTCAATCTCTATCATTCCATCTCCTAATAACCACCATACGATTATTGTTTCTTGACCCCTCTATTGTCACTCAATCATTACCACTCAGAATTAAATCTTTTTTGGCGCCATTGAGTTTATACCACCAATATATTTCATCCAACTATAAGTGTGCTAAAATAGGGGCTGAGAAACTTTATTCAAAATGCATAGAGTATAGAGTTTTGTGTCATGAATACATGTGTGTGTGTGTGTGTGTGTGAAGGTTTTCATGGTCTGAGTTGCAAAAACTGGCAATGTAAAGAGGAGCCACATTGACAAAAATTTATTGCATACGGACACCGTAAGCAGAGATGCATGTGGTGTCTGATCTATGCCGTAGATCACGGTGATCTACGGTGATGATGCAATCAAATTTTTTTAAAAAAGATAATAAAAAAAATTTAAAGTGTGGCCCACCAAAGTACATCGTCACCGTAGAATATATACATACATACATATGCATAAACATGTGTGTGTGTGTGTGTGTGTGTGTGTGTGAAGGTTTTCATGGTCTGAATTGCAAAAACTGGCGATGTAATTGACGAAAATTTATTGCATACGGACACCGTAAGCAGAGATGCATGTGGTGTCCGATCTACGCCGTAGATCACGGTGATCTACGGTAATGATGCAATCAATTTTTTTTAAAAAAGATAATAAAAAAAAATTTAATGTGTGGCCCACCAAAATACATCGTCACCGTAAATCACCGTGATCTACAGTGTAGATCAGAATGCAATAATTTTTCTACTTTGACAGGAAAATATATTGTGAGAGGATGATATAGCTGAGGATTAGATGTGGATTGATGATATTAGCATGATATTGGGGGTAGAATTGATGGCATTGCGATGTTATTAGGATGATATTGAATATAATGTCAATCAAATAATACCCCAATATCTGAGTATACTTGATCTGCCGCCCCAAAGTCTACAAATTGGAAGCCGCGTGATCGCGAAGGCCAATCGCTTTATCAATACCGAGTAATCCAACGCCGCCTCTCGAAGCAAAGATTTTTGGGTATCGGCCCAGCCCCCTCCAACGGCATTCATTATGGAATTGTCGACAGCATTGACCGTTGGCGAGGGAGAGCAATTAACAAGTTGGTTGGCGGTTCAGGTTAGCATTCGTCGGCTTTTCTCCGGTAAGCTTTAGAGGAACCTTCAACTACCTGAAAGTCATCACTGGGTCTTCTGATGTGAGTATATAAGAGCTCGATTGTCTGTATTCAGATTATGGACTACAGATTAATATCAAGACTATTTCAAAGTGACTTGTGGATAGAAAGATCGGAGATCTCTTAGCTCTGCTGTGCTTGAAAAACTCAGGAGCCAAGGTGTTGATTGGCTGCAACTTTGTTTTATGTTAAAAAGACTTCGTAAATCCGATAAATTCAGATTTATTAGATGAATGCTGTGGAAAGTGACGACAGAATAAATCCTGCTCACAATGAGATTTACTAAATTCGGATTTAGATAGTAAAAAGAAAGAAATGCAATTTAAATGTGTATATATATAGAGAGAGAGAGAGAGAGAGAGATTTTTCTTTAATTAATTTTGATTTTGATTTAGGACTTTAATTTCAAATTTGATTACTTTTTTTTATTAACTTAGCTTTATTTTGATTAAGATTTAAACTTAGATTTCTTGATGTTGATTTACTTTTATTTCTAAATTTAAACCAATTTTTGTTTCATTAATTAATTCTTTTTATTTTAATTTCAATTTAATTTGACCATGATTTGTGACTAACGTCAAATATGTTTTAGCTTATCTTAAACTAAAGGCATCAGTTAAGAGAAAAGTTAGGTCTGATTAGGGGGATCCTATAGAATCTTTCTTAAGTTGATTAAAGCCAAAAGGGTTGTTCTAATCAACCTATTACAAAGGTTAATCAATGGTCCAAAAGTCTAGGTGCCTAAAACATGTAATCAAGCCTCTATATTCAATGGGTCACCTAAAAACTTGTTACAAAAATTATAGAAACACTCAACCTTCAATTTTAATAATTTGATTATGGTCAACTCAACAACAAACCATGTGTCAAGAATTAAAGCCAAATTTATTTCAAATCAAAGGGAGTGAAGGTTCAACTTAGGGCCTAGTTTGGCTCTCAACCATCCATCAGTCCTCTAGAATAGCCTCTAAAGGATAGGAAGAAGAGCAGTAAGATCTCACCAAAAGAGAGATCAACATTCTGCACGTAACAACAACTATTTTATTATACTATGTTATGTTTAATTACATCTCAATTTTCCCTTTAGAATGAAGGACTAAAAAAAGAGTAGAAAGCTTATGCATTTCACATGAAAGCTATTTGGGTATATTTACTATTTTCTATACATTTTAAAATGTGCATATGTTTTTCACAGATGTAAAAACATAAAAGTTTCGGTAGAAGATTTACATTAAATATTAAAAATTAAATGTTAAAATTTAGAATTATTTTCTTAGTTGGTTTTTTTTAATTTATGTATTATTGTTTAGTTAATAACATAAAAGACAATTTAATTTTTAATTAAATTTTAATCGTATCATTTTTAAATTAAATTTATATTTATATTAAATTTTAAGTCTATTTCGAGCTTTAATGGAGCGCCTTAACGAGATTATGTGAGTTTCTTCTTTATTTTTTAGTGCATAAATTTCTAGTAATGATATTAAATTTTCATTAGTAATAGTAGATATATATGAGACTAATAAATATTCATGCATGTATTTCTCTTCCAAAAAAAAACATGTATTTTAATTTTATTTAAAACTTATGTAAAATTATTTTAACTTACAGATAATGCACAAATATTAAAAATAATTACTTTAAAGTTTATAATAAAATATTAATAAAATATTACAATATTAAAATGTTTACTTGTTTACATATACTCTGAATAAAAATTATCATAGATATTTACTCTAATTAGTAAGAATATTTTAATTTATTTTTATATCATATTTGATTAGTTTTTTATTTTTGCAAAAAAAAAAAAAACTATAATCATCAAATTTAAAAATTCTATGGAGATTATAAATAAATTAATACATCAAAATTTATATTGCATTATGCAACTTTTGCCATTTAAATGATCACTTCATGTAATTTTATATAGATCAGATGAAAATGATTGAAGGTAATTTTAAAGTTAGTAATTATGCCCTACTAAAATAATTTTTTGGCTCTGCCTCTGAGCTGTGCTATAGACATTTGACTTTTTCTTCTTTGCCCATTACTATTTTCAAGCATAAGTTATCATCTTTTATGCCTTCTTTAGTTTGTGTGGAAGTGTATGCAAATTTAATATATATTATGATATCTTTGTATTAGTAAAAATAATTTTTATTTTTTCCTCCTTTTGCAACTATACAGATATTCATGATAATATTGTACAACAAATTAAAATTACTATTTACCTTTATTTTAACATCTAGAAATGTTTTGAACTTTGTCAACCATATTTCTTGTGCTTTCAAGTTGTGTGTGAAGTGTTAAAAAATGTTGTAAATCATCTCGTGGTTATCTTAACGTGATCTCTATCCCATCTTAGCTAAGGTTTAAGTCTTGTAGTTTTCAGTGAAACTTGGTTCCTGTTGAATTAAAACAAATATTATGCTTGCAAATGTGTTGAATTCCTGTTACTATAAGATGTTCGAGAGCTATCTAATTAGATTGTGTTTCATCAATATATGAAGTAAGTAAATTGCATGAGTATAAGAAAATGATTGAATCAACTAAGTGACTTTGTGGCACTTTATTTCTCTATTGGAGGATTTACATACATAGAGCCTTAAACATAAGGATTTACATTCTTCACAACTAAATTTTACGAAAATAAAAATCAGCATGCACTCTAACTCTTTCCATAACTAGGTTATTTGAGCTAACAAGTCTAATCCTACTTAGCCTTATCTAATATATGTCTATCGAGCATATGATCTTTCTTGACGTTATCCCTAATCCTACTCGGCCACTTCTTGTTCTGAATCAACCTTGCTCCTATTCTTTCTCGGCCTAGTCTTGATCGTGTATTCGGTCTCATCCTTAATCCTAGTCGACCTAGGATCACAATCAACTTCTTTCGTGATCCTACTTGCCCTTGTTCCCAATCCAAGTTGCCCTCACTTGAATCCTATCTGTCTTCTCCTTGATTCCACTCAGCTTCATTTATTGAGCATCTGATGAGATCCATTAACATAATTAATAGAGTGCCCGATAATATAAATAGTAAAATTTAGGTGTAATGCATGCAAATTCTAAGACTTGAAATGCTATGTGCTTTACTGTTCTTTAATCCTCCTATCTTTCATCATCCACACAATCATGAAAAATCTTATCCTACACATTCCATAAATTTTTACTAAGAAGTATATGAATTTTATCGCCCACATTTTGCCCTGTGAAAAATTAAAAGAAAAAAAGACTCAAATTCAATAATTACCCATTAACCCTGCTATAACATCATGAATATACCACTCCGAACGAACTTCCGGGATCTTGAGAAAATCAACAAGGTCCCATGCCTGATTGCTTGAATTTAAATTCTGCATGAACGGCATTACTTAGTAATTACTTTTCTTTTTCGATTTTACACTTCTCCTAGTTGCTACATAAACAAAGTTAGGTCTAATGTCCACACTTTAAGTTCAAATCACGCTTGGAAGTTCATAAGAGCTTGTCAGAGTATTTTATCCATTAAAATTATTTAAAATATCTCTCAAAATTATTGAATTTAGTTTATATTAAACAATACATGTGCAATTAATTAAAATTGATATGCATTCATCTAAAATTATCCTCACCATAAAGTTAATTAGAATAGTCTCACCCAATTTGTGCCCTTATCCCCGTCTCCCTAGCACACATTCTAAACACAATAACAAACATGCATGCAGGCTAAAAAAACAGAAAGATGTTATATACCGCTCAATTCCAATGTATTTACATATCTAACACTCCATTATCTATACATGAAAATATCTATTTCACATTTTAAAAAAATTAAAAGTAATATTTTCTACATGATATGAAAATTTTGAGTGTTATAAATCTAAAAAATAAAGTGTCCGTGTTAGATACCCAAATAAATAAAAAAAGGGAAGGTATGTATGTAAATGCCCTACAAAAAAAATCATGAATCCCAAGTTCTAACATCAATGAACATCCTATTAGAAACCTACAGCCGCTTGCAGATTCAATCAAAAGTACATATTTCATGCACAATTTTGTTATTAGAATATCACTAAGACGATAAATGCAATAAAAATAGTTGCTAGGTTGGTCCATCGTGTCCGATCCTGCTCTTCTACTCCCTTCTTTATTGAAATATTTAAGAACTTAAGAAAAAAACAGAAACTTTTGAGTTAAATGATCACATATCATAGCAGCTCATAAATGGCAGCTTCAAACGCATACTTTTCCCTTACCTTCGTCCAACCCGAGTCTTCCAATCTGATTCGCCCTAACTGAGTCACCAAAGTCAGAAGTCTCCTACAGCTCAACGACACGATCCCTATATAGCACAATAACTCCATCGATTCGTGTTATGCCGAATAAAAGCTTCAATGAAAGAATCCTCCCGGCCATCCCCCCTGCCTACACTCCCCTGTTTCTCTTCTCTCCGTCGATCCCTCCCATCCGCCACCGCTATCCTCCTCCTCTTCTCGCTCGGCTATATCACCGGCCTACTCTCCTCCACATCCTCCCCTCCTTCCGCAAAACCTCGACCTCTCCCCATCCGAGATTCCAATTGCTCCTCATCCCCACCCCACGACCTCTTCCTCTTCCGCACCGAGTGCGCAAAACGTGTCCCGCACGACCTCGTCCTCCCCACCCTCCTCCACCGCCTCTTCAACAACACCTCCCCTTACTCCCACTTCCCTTCCCCTGAAACCGCCGCCCTGCTCCTTCCCCCGGCAGCCCGCCCCCGCGGCTGGGGCTCCACGAACCCCGTGTTTTCCGACCTCATCTCCTCCATCCGCCCGCTCACCATCATCGAACTCGGCACCTTTCTCGGCGCCTCCGCCCTTCACATGGCCTCCCTCACCCGCAATCTTTCCCTCCCCAATTCACTCATCCTCTGCCTCGACGACTTCCGCGGCTGGCCGGCTTTCCGCTCCCGCTTCGCTCGCCACGGACCCGTCCCCCCCCCTCCCCACCCCCC